CCTGGTAAACACAGAATTAAGACAAAAATAATTTTTTTTTTTAAAGAATCTTTCCATGAATGCTGGGTCCTGCTTCACGGTGCATATTTCTCTGGGTAACTGATGTCAGAAATGAGAGTCAGAGCTCCTTCTCTGCAGCATACCCACAGCACACTAGCAGATTCTCTTCCTAGCTCTCTCCTTCTGCTAGAATCCTTGCATATTGCCACCCTGCATCCACATTTTCCTTCCCCAGTGATAACATTAAATGAATCCAATACATGGATCGCGTGCTGGATGTTTAATAGCAGAGGTATGGCTGAGTGTGTTTCAACACAGCAAATTGGAAAAAACCCAGTCCCTTACTGAGGGAACACGGCGTCCATTCTTAATGCCAGTCATCACTGGCCAGAACACAATTGTGACTGGGCCCTAGCAGAACAGAGGGAGGCAGACAGAGACGCTGGGTGTGGAGCTCGGGAACACACAGAGGCTTTGTCTGGGTGACTGGCAGCTCAGTTGGTATCACATTCCCCTGTTTATCTTTGAAAGTGGGGAACCATGTAGCTACAAATCTGTAAAGTCAAGGTCAAAATCTTGGATGAGGCAGATTTACACCAAAAGTAAAGGTGGAAGGGCAAAGGAGGAACCATTTAGACTTGTTTTTCTCAGATTTGATCGACAGACTCATTATTATATACCTCCCAATCACTCAAAATGGCCTTATAGTTGCTTATTAAACAAAGCACTCATTTTGCTGTATTTATACAGCACAGCATGGTCGTTGAAAATCTCTGGCTTGTTTTTTATCTTTTTTGATCAGATGAGATTAGGCATTTCAAGGTAGTATGATTGTAGGATATTTTAAAATTTAAAAAAAAACCTTTTACAACATATATTTTGATATACAGTTTTTCTAGGTAAATGACCATTGACTAATTGCTGATATGACTTTATGTGTGTTCAGGGGTCTTTTTATCTTACCCGTGTCACACACATCTCCTTCCTTAAGGTGGTTTTCCTCTGTAGACCATTTATTCATTTATACTAATTTTCAATAATCTACCTGACAAAAGGTTTGCCTTTCCCTTATGCAATTGTGATTTTCCCACATTTTAGGAGGAAAACTATGTGCTTTAAAAAGAAGAGACACCAAACAAGAATGAAGTTTTAGAATTAAAAAAAAATATGATTTTTCAAAACAGAGTGTTTCAAAATTCAGTAAGAGGGATATAATGAAGCAAATAGGAAAGTCTGATAAGAGAAAAACAGAGCTGGGAGCTTGGAATGAGTGAGAAGAATAAGAAACAATTCAGATCATCATTCGAGACAGTTAACATGACAGAGATTTCAGAAAGAAAGAAGAAAGGAGAGGGGCAAATCTATAAAAACATACAGGAAAAAAATTCAAAATAGAATGTTATGAATTTCCAAATGAAAATGGACCCTCAAGTGGGAATGAAAAAACAAAAGCAAAAACCAAAACAAACCCCTCACATTGAAGAATAGCATGGTAAAGTTTCAAAGGACTTCAGGTTAAAATAAGACCCTTAATATGTGGAAGCTAATTTGCAATAAAGAGGTGGGAACACAGTAGGGAAGAATAGCGCTACCTTAGATTAGGTAGAGGGAAGTGATGGGAGGGGAGAGGAGGGGATGTGGGGATAGGAAAGGTAGTAGAATGAAACAGACATTATTACTGTATGTATATATGGCTGCATGACCAATATGATTCTGCAACATGTACACTCAGAAAAATGAGAAATTATACCCCATCTATGTATGGAATAACAAAGTGCATAAATGCATTCTACTGTCATGTATAACTAATTAAAACAAATAATAAAAAAAGACCCTTAACATTTCCAAAGTTTTTTGAAAAAAAAAAAGTTGTAGGCAAAAAACAAAAAACAAAACAAAAACCAAACTACTCTCACATAAACAAAAACAAAGCCACAAAATAAAATAATTCAGAATAAAACCCACCAAAAACTTAAAAAAAAAATAGACAAATGAGATTCCGAAAGGTCTAGAACTTCTCAAAACAGCAATGGAGAAAAAAAAAAAAATAGAGAAAAGCAATATATTCATAATACTTTTCAACCTAGAATTCCATATCCGAGTAGGCAACCAGTGTGAGGATAGAATACAGCAGCTTTCAGTAAGCAGGCACTTGGAAAAATCTTCTTTATATATACCCTTTCTTTCTAAGGAGGCCATTGGAGGGCTTAGTCTCAAAGAATGGGCAGGGGCGAGCCACAGATGAGAATGTCCTAGAGTCCAGGACAAGGTGACTCCATCTTAGCAAAGCAATGGGAGGAAGAACCAGTGCCCCAGGACCAGAGAGCAGGGGGGCCTAACACCAGAGAGGAGGACAGAGGATTACAGAAGAACAGAGATTACTGCATCGGAATGCCTGAAAATCACTAATGGATATTTGACAGATCTGCTGGAGTATTTGGAAAAATGAGTGATAAGTAAATTTTAAAACCTAAGCAAGTTAAAATAAATAAATGAAAGCAAAACCAGGACAATTATTAACTTCAGGGAAAAGAAAGTCATACAAAGAAAAGGAACAATCATGGCTTATCATAAGACTGTGGGCACGAACATTCACCTGCTTACAGTAATATAAACACTGACTGGTGTAACTTCACTCAGTGGGGGAGGGGAAGGGAAAGGAAGAGGAAGAAGTGAAATGTAAGAAAAATAATCCTCAAAAGGAAGCCAATAGCCTTCAATAAATCAGCATATAAATGGCTGTGTGAATAACGTAGCAATATGGAAATACACAACTAAAAAATAGTTAAATGATGGAGTGGGATGAAGTAGCACCATGAGCAGTTAGCACCTCTCTCTCCTCTCTCTCTCTCTCTCTCTCTCTCTCTCTCTCTCTCTCTCTCTCTTTCTTCCATTGAGTTACATCTCTAGACCTTTTTATTTTTAAATTTTGAGACAAGGTCTTGCCAAGTTGCTGAGACTGGCCTTGAACTTGCCATCCTCTTGTCCAGCCTCTGAATCACTGGGATTACAGGTGACTGTCCTGTGCCAAGGTTTCACAAGTGTTTGATGAATATAGAAATGAATGAAAATTGCATTTACTGGCACTTATGGTGTATTGGTTTGTTCAGGTTGCTGTAACAAAATACCATCATGTGGGTGATTATATCAGCAGCAATATATTTTCTTATAATTGTCCAATTCAGAAGCCTGAGATCAAGGTTTTAGCAGTGTGGGTTCCTTCTGAGGACTGAGGGAGGAATCTTTTCCAAGCCTCTCTCTTTGGTTGTAGATGGCCATCTTCTCCCATCTGTCCATATATGTCCTCCCCACCCCCATGTATGCAAATTTGTATAAAGACATGAATCAAGGCCTACTTTAATGATTTATTTTAGCTTGACTACCTCTGTGAGGACTTTGTCTTTAAATAAGGTCACCCAGAGAGGTGTTGGGCATTAGGTTTTCAACACAGGAATCCGGAAGGCAAAGGGACACAGTTCAACCTTAACATGTGGGGTTTGTCAGTTGCAGCCATACTTTCTGTGAGGAAGTCTTCTGAAATGTTAGCAAGTTATAGCATTAATTTGGGCTGAGTTCACTTGGAGTCCTGGGAGGTCTTACCTTGTGGGGAGCACAAGGCTGCCATTCAACAGGAGTGACACGGACTCAGATGTGGCCTCCTAAGCAGTTTTTCTGGAACTGAGAATACTGTTGCATGAAGGGCAGACAGAGATAGTGTAATGAGCATTTTGTGGACCCTCCATACTTTGGTTGCATAAATGGTATATCACTCCATTTATTATGGAGTAGATTGAAGATGGGACCACAAAATTTTGCCATTGAGATTTGAGAAGCAGAGGAGTCCTTTAGTAAAGATGGGTTTTTAAAAACATCTTGATTTCCAGTAGTTTGGGGATCAGAAAGGAAGACTTTGCAAGTGCCAGTCACTCTTGTTTGTAAGTTTCTTTAGGGCCCTGACCATGAGCGCTAACATGGTGTGGCACTTACTACTACTCACGTGTGGGATGCACCGTTTGAACAAGTGTACGCCTCTTAACTGATTTAATCCTCCCTCTGGTCCGATGACATTTAATAGAGCACAGAGGGTTATAGGACTTGATAGTGTAGCTCCCACATTTTAAGAAAAGGATAAGAACATATTGAAGATCGCAGTCAATGCCATCATGTAAATTGAATGATATTCACTATTCACCAAACCCTCTACCATAATAGGTGGTTTATAGAAGTTTTAATAAATTTTGAGTGCATAAAGGTGACTGTCACAGAATCTTCCAAATTCAATCTCAGTTGTGATTAGACTAGATGAGACTTTCGTTAAGTCAAGTGTGCAAAGGTGTGTGTATGTGAGGGTAGTTAGTCTTGTTGTGTATGTGTGTGTGTGTGTGTGTGTGTGTGTAAGTGGGAGGGGAATGTAAATGGGTATTTATCTGCCTAGAGTATGAAAATAGGAGCCCAAAGACAGGAATTTGTTGGTGTGACTCCAACACAGTTCATGGTGGAAGGCTTTTACTTGGGGTATATGGGGTGCAGTATGATGTACTGGGGTGGGGTGGGTTACTATGCTGGTGTGGCGTGTGGGTAGGAGAGCTTGGTTGTGTGGGGTGAGCTGGTGTGTGGTGTGGATGGACTCAGCTTGGTTGCACACGGGCTAGAGCTGGTTGGAAGGGGCCTTGGTGATGGGGGAGGTTTCTCATGGGACATGGGAGTTTGAGCCTGTGAGTGTGTGTGTGGCTATAGTGTGGAGATGGGTTGTGGGTGCATGGGTGTGTGTGCATGTGCGATATGGCCAGTAGCTTACTTTAGCTTTTGTTTAGGTTTTCTTTTGCTCTTTGTTTTGGTCATTGTTTTTGTCTTTGTTTGGCCTTTGTTTGTCTTTGTTTCACTCTTTGTTTTAAACTTTCTTTGGCTTTTGTTTGGTTTTTCTTTAGCCTTTTGTTTAAACTTTGTGTGGCCTTTTTGTAGTCTTTGTGTAGCTTTTGTTTTAAAGTGCATCTTGGCCCGGGAGGACCCATCAAAAACACCTTGTGTAATGAAAAAAAACCCAGATATATAATCTCTCCCTATATATTCTGCATGCATTGAGGTAGCCTCAACCCCTCAGGGACCTTGGTACAGACAAGGAACCTGTGACACACAGCAACTACTGCTATCTGAAGGTAAGAGAATGTCTCTGGCTTTCGTCTTACTTCCTTTTGTACCTCATCCTCAAGTGGCAAGTGAACGGGTCATATGGACCATTTTGTTAACAGCGGATTGTAATAGCTGTCAAGGTTGGAAGGACAGAAAAGAATGGGGAAAATGAAACTGGAAGAAGGAGCAGCAAGTTGATTTCTGATGTGGGCCTTCCTAGAACGTTCGTGCTAATGTTTGGGATTTGTCTGAGCCTGGGGAGAGGTTCTGAATCCTAACTCAGGTTTCCTCAGATTCAAAGACCCCTGTTGTTGCAGTGAGATCAATGGTGCTACTGAGTTCTTTTTTTTTTTTAATCCCTATTTCTTCTTTGATACTCTGTCATGATTTGAAAATGAGGTTTTCTTTCTTATCTGAGTGCAACTGCTTCCCCCATACAGCTGGATTTATGTGTGTGGGATATTCATGGAGCAACAAAGACCAAATCTTAGCATTGTGCTCCCTGTAGACCCAGCAAACTTAAATTGAAAGACATGGATGCCTTGTCACATACAGAATCTCTTAGAAATCACAGGGAGTCTTTCAGTTCTATAGTTGATTAAAAAAAAAAAAAGCAAAGAAAAGATGATGTGTCAGGGGAATACAGTCATGAACTTGGCTACGGTACTAGGTTGAACATGGAGAAAAGGAGAATTTTTAATGCTCTGTGAATAAAATAGGGAGACAGAAAACAGATTGCAGCCAGATGTGCAGAGATGCTGCTTGGTGATTATTTAGAATGACAGGGGAATTGTTGGTGAGTGGATTTCAAAAATTGCTTCAGAGTTACAGAAAAATTGCAAATAGTATGAAAATTCCAGACTGCACCCAGCTTACCCAAATGTGAACATTGTACCAGATCTGCTTTGTCATTCTCTTTCTATAGCATAAAATAATACATTTTATATTTTGCTGAGCCATTTGAGATTAAATTGCAGGCATCATCAAAATCAGAAAAATACTTTGATTTCATCTAGAGATATCTAGACTTCATCAATTGTCTCTGCTGTCAATCCAGTATGATTGACTGACTTCAGTTGTTCTGTCTTTTTGGTGTTGTTTAATCTGGAACTGTACCTGAGATAGCTATTCTCCTTCACTGACAGTGACAATTTTGAAGTGTGTAGGCCAATTATTTTGTGCAAATGTTCTTCCGAATGGTTTTGGTCTGAAGTTTTCTCATAATTGAGGTCACAGTTTTTGAAGGAATATGATTGTACTTTGACTGTGAATATTCAAATTGAACCATTTCTATCAATTTTTTTTTTGGTACTGGGAATTGAACCCAGGAGTGCTTTACCACTGAGCCATATCTCCAGTCCATTTTATTTTTTAATTTTAAGACAGGATGTTTCTAAATTGTTAGGGCCTCACTATATTGCTGAGACTGGCCTCAAACTTGCCATCCTCCTGCTTCAGTCTCCAGAGTTGCTAGAATTATAGATGTGCCCCACAGTGCCCCACTGATCCTAAAAAATTCTTAATTCAAGGTCTTATTTATCTGAGAGTCACTCAGATTTTAAATCGTTGGTTATCTAAAATCTTTGTACATGAAATTACAAAAAGTTATAAATCCAGAAATTTTAGAGATAATTCCCAAGCATTTACCCAGAGTGTGTCAGAGCTGACCTTTGATTATAAATGGCAATTGCTTTGATACGTCCATGAACTTGGTAGGCTTAGATTGGTATTTCATTTAAATTCTTTTCATGTGTTGGGTTCATGTCTACTGCACTGTGCGTGGCCCTTCCTTCCTAAGCTCAGCCAACTGCTGATACTGTTCAAGGAAGAGTTGTCCTGAGGAGCCACCCAGCTCCCTGGCATCCTTTAGCAGGTTGGCAGGGTGTCTGCAGTAATGGAGGAGGCATAGCTCTGCCGAGGCTGTGAGAAGGCCCCTGATCAAGCATCTCCTCTATGTTCCAGAAACCACATACCAGCAAAGAACTCTCCCTTTGTGTCACCAGGAGTCAAAATTCTGAGATCACCAGTCATTCTTAAAATATTCTCTACACAATCTGTGAGGTAGGAAATATTATCCACATTTTACAGATGAGAAAATTGAGATCCAGGGATCAGCCTATGATCGATTATACATGGCTAGCAAATGGCACAGCCCACAACTCAAACTAAGAATTTTTATGGATGACAGGCATTATTATTATTATTATTATTATTATTATTTTACTAGTATATTGCACATGTTAAAGTTACAAAAATTAAAATTAAAAAGGTGGGCTGGAAATAAACTACTTCAAAAATAACTTTATACCCTGATTGGGACATTACATGTAGACCTGATTTCCTTTCAGGCTTCCTTTATTTTTTTTTTAAGTTATTAAAATGCATTCCTTAGATATGCAAATCAAAGCATTCATTTCTTCCCTCAGGGAAGATCCAGGAGTTAACAAAAATCAGAATGTAGAGGTAGTTGATTACCCTGCTAAGTGAGCTTCCTGGTGAAGTGGAACTTTAACAGGACGTTCCCTGGATGAGGAAGATCAATGTTTTCTTACCTAACAATGAAATTAAAGGAAGATTTTTTGGGTTCTGCACAGGGTGCTATTTAAGGCTAAGAAGCTTGGCTAGTGGAAAAGGAAGCATTAGCTGTTATGACCGTCTTATCTGGGCCATGGAAGTCACCCTGTGGTTTGGTAAAGTGTTTTACATACTTAAAGGATTATGTTTTCCCAGGATGAATCATCTTGGGGAAAATGAAGGCATGAAGACCCCTTTTCTCTCTTTCAGTCAAAACAATTGAGGGTCAGGACATGGAAGGCTCAGAAGGCCAGGAGGGAACTGTGGATGGGAGTTAATCTTCTGACAACCTAGGAGTCTGCTGGGCAGGGACCAAAGAATGAGGCTCTGTACCCTGGGCTCCAGCAGTGACTTCTTCCATTGGCACAGAGGACACTCTTGCATCTGTTGTTTCTGTTACCTTTTAAGCTTTAGAGTCAGCTGGGCTCTGGGTGGCTAAGGAAGCATCCTGTTTAAAAACATACTTGAGATTTTGTTATTGATCAGATAGGGTGAGGCCAACAGATCAGGAGATGAGCGACATTGGAAAGTTTGTTACAGTTCCTGTTTTAGTCAGATTTTTCATTGCTCTGACTAAAAGACCTGACCAGAACAATTTTAGAGGAGTAAGAGTTTATTTGAAGGTTCACAGTTTCAGAGGACTCAGTCCATAGACAGCTAGCTCCATTCCTTGGCTTGAGGTGAGGCAGAACATCATGGCAGAAGAGCATGGCAGAGAGAAGCAGCTCATAAGATGATCAGAAAGGGGGAGGGGGGGAGAGAGAGAGAGAGAGAGAGAGAGAGAGAGAGAGAGAGAGAGAGAGAGAGAGAGAGAGAGAGAGAGAGAGAGACCCAGAGACAGAGAGACATTCCACTTGCCAGATACCAAATATAAACCCCAAAGGTACGTCCCCCAATGACTCACCTCCTCCAGCCACACCCTACCTGCCTTCAGTTATCAACTCAGTTAATCCCATCAAGGGATTAATTCACTGATTGATGGACTAAGGCTCTAATAACCCAATCATTTCTCCTCTAAAACTTGCATTGTTTCATCTGTGAGCTTTTGGGGGACACCTCACATTCAAACCATAACAGATCCCAAGAGGAGGGGGACATGGGGACATGAAATTAGAGGAAAAGGGCCACATGGGGAAGTACCAGTTTCCTTGGTCAGGAGTCAAGAGGAGAAAGGGGGAAGCAGGGGCGGAAGTTTTTATTGTGGTTTTGTGGGGAACAGTGGGAAATTCAGAGTTAGGGATAGGAAGGCTTAGAATTGTAGTGTGGATAATTTCTTGGGACTCTGAGATGTAGGATCTGTTCCAAGTTAACTGGGATCTGGCCCTGGGGACATCAGGACAGAGGATTATTTGTTCATCCTGTGAGAGTTTAATAAAGGAGGTAGTTGGAAAATCTGGGCTCTGGATTGGTTGATTTCCATATGAAAGGTGAGCTTACCAGGGTGTCATTGGCTATCTCTAGGAATTAACTAGTCCTGGGGAAGGCAGTCTCTCCAGGATCAGCAAGACCCCCAATGCCAGAGCATCATGAACACAGAAAATAAGAAAATACAATTAATACAGTTAGTGTCCACATTTGGAGTGAATGAACATGGGAAAGGAGAGCAACATTTAGAGGCTGGAATAACAGCATTTAAGATCCAGTTCATCTGTTACAGAGGCCTTCATGGAAAGTGTGACTATTTTTTTTATGGGAGCCCCAAAATTAATAAGGAAGATAGAGGACTGGATTCTCAGAGATCTACAGGAGTGAGTTGTGTAGCAAACTATCACAAACATAGTGTCTGAAGGCTGTTCCCATTTATGACCTCACTGTTCTGTAGATCAGAAGTCCTGTGGGCTTGTCTATATCTTCTGCTTTGGGTCTCACTAGGACACGAAGTGGTTGTCTGCAGAGCTCCTGCCTAGAAGAAGCTCTGAAATCCAGGCTCACGCAGGTTGTTGGCAGAACTCACTCCTTGTGGTTGTCGGGCTCAGGTCTCTGGTTTGCTCCAGTCAGTAATGGTGGGTTGAGCTCTTCTCAAGCTTGGAGTAACTCTGGCCTCATCTTCTGTTGCATTTCTCTGACTCCAGCTAGAGAAAGTTCTTGGTTTTTAAGGGTTTATATTATTTGTCTCACCCAAATCATTCAGAATAATCTCCCTGTAAAATCCTTCGCCTTCACTATGTCTGTAAAGTTTCTTTCGTTACATAACATAACATAAGGTATTCAGAAGTTTCAGTGATTAGGATTTGGAAATTTATGGGGCAGTCCATTCAGCCTACTGCAGGGGGCTTAGGGTCAATGCAAACGTGAATATTAAATATACAGTGAGCACATACATTTCCTATGTATAGTCTAGAGTTTGCAGAGAAATCAGGGAGCAGAATAAGTAGCAGTTACCAATCAACCAAGGCATAAGACCTGGCTTAAAAAATCTGAAATAATACTCATATTATACTCATTTAAAGTTTCTCACATGGGATAATAATAACATTTACCCTCAGAGACACATGGAAGGGATCTTCACAATACCTTCATGCAAAATGTTTTTCAAGATAACTGAAGTCAATTACTTAAGTTTAGAAACTGGTTTATTATATTTTAAAAGCAAGGTATTAAAGGTCTAACGTGGAAGACAAACATTTTTTTTTTTTTTGAGGGGGAAAGGGACTCCATCATGTTAGGTCCCTGATGTGTAACTTTGGTGACAGAATCCCACTTTTCACTCCCCCTCTCTAGTCCGTAACCAAGAAAGACCGTCCAAGATCTCTGGGTAAATGCAGAGCACCTTGGTTAAGGAGGCTGGACGCTCACTTATGACACTGTTGTACTGAGACTTCCTTCCTCCTTTTCCAAATCCCTATTTATTACATCCCAAGTCTGAATATTTGTTTGTTTTAGAGGAAAGACCAAGAAGGTCCATCTATGTTGCCAGAGGAAATCGAGAGACACAGGAACAGGGAAGTGTACTTTTTCCTCCCAAGACTGGTGTGGGTCCTGAGCCTTCGCCACTAGGCTCGTGGTCTGGGAAGGCCAGGCTGTCCAAAGTGGAATAAGGAACGATATCTCTGGAGAGAGAGATGGTGAGGGAAGGAGAATAGGGAAAAGAAATGGCAAGGTTCTGGCTCTCTTACTGATCCAAAGGCAAAAAGTAAATCATGAGCAGGAGAAAATATATGTACAGCCCACGGGCACAGGAGATCTTGCTGATCCTGTCATGGAAAGTTGGCTCTGGCACTTGCACATGGAAACTTATGACTTAGAGGAGGCAAATATATCCGTCTAGTAGGCTTAAGAAATTTTAACTAAAAGTAGTAATGGACAAAACTGTAAGTTAAGCAGGTAAACCTCAAACATTAAATTCCAGTCAGAGGGAGTAACAATTGCCTTTTATATAATTAAGATAAATGATGCATTCACAGTCTATTTCAGACTCCCTGTAGGAAACACAAGGGACCAGACACTGGTACTGAGAGACACGGAGAATCTTCCTAGGGCTTCAGTTCACTGAAAAACTAGATTGTGCTTGGGCATCACCTTCTCTTTATAGTCAATATTTATTTAAGATAACTTGGTTCTCAGATAAAGCTACTAAGTTTTCAGAAGTGAATAGAATGGTAGAAGCTAACTAACTTATGTTGAATAAATTGGGGACTTCAGAACCACAATGTCTTCTGTAGTTGAAAAGCTTTTTTTTTTCTGTATGGTTCTGTCTTACATATAATTTTTAAAATGAACATTCAAGTTTCCAAGTAGTTCCTTGGTGCCCACCAATGCTATTCACTGATGTTCATTAGTTATGAGTGTATAGATAACTTGGTGTCAACACCAGGTTAATTAGAGGAAGTTGAGGAATTCTGAGTTAACTGGAAGCCTTCATTCAGGTATTTATTCTCAGTTCTTCACAAGCTTGTGACACATTTCATTCATTCATTCATTCATTCATTCACTCATTTACTCACTCAAATATTTATTGAGAGTCCATGTGGCAGGCAATGAGCTAGCATCTGGAGAGTTTACATTTTCATGGTAGTGGAAAAAAAATCGTATGCAACCCCAACAATAATAAAAGCAAAGGAGAAGCATCCCAGGAAGCTATATAATTGTGAAATGACGGTGTTTATTGTTAATCTAACTAAATGACCAGAAAATTTTTTCTCTGAGAGAGGGGTGTTTGACTTGAAATTTTCTATTCTCAAACAGGCATTGCAAGCTCAGGAGGGTATTTCTGGAAAAGAGACTATTACTTAACAAGTGTCCAGGGTAGGCAGAACCATATTTTATGGTTATATTTGAATAAAGAGAAGCACAGAGAGCTAAGGTCTAAGTATGTTTTATAGCTCCCCTTTTCCTGACTTGGCTGGTTTTTAGGAATCCTCACAGATTAAATAAGTTATTATCATGAAACAGATGCTGACCTTAAACAAAATGCAGACTCTGAAATTATCTGTACCACCCCCAGTACACGCATCGTTCCCTTAGGAGCCATTTATTCCCTAACTGCTTCTCCTCCTCCATGAAATTTTAATTCTGTAGATATACGACATATTGTTTATGCATTGTACATATCTCTATGCTTTGTTAATAAAAAGAGCAAGATGTTTTTGGTCCCCTGCCCCACTTTTCATGCTTTTCACCCAGCTTCCTTTAATATTAACATTTTACACATCCATGCAGTTCAATTAATAAACTGATAAATTAACATTGATACAACATTATTAACTAACTACATCTCTCATCCACATTTCCCAAGTTTTACCTGCTAATATCCCTTTTCTATGTCAGGATTGAATCTAGGATGCCCCATTGCATTTATACTGTAAATTAAAGAGATCTTTTTAATTTTATTTTTTCTGTGATGGTTCCTCAATCTTTCTTTTTCTTTTATGACCTTGAGACTTTTAAAGAACATGGATAAATGATTTGTAAAATGTATTTCCATTTGAATTTTTCTGGTGCCTTTTCACAATTAAATAGGTCATGGTTATGAATTATTGAAAAGAATCCCAGAGATGATGTTCCCTTTCAGTGTGTCACATCTAGGTAAATGATGATGATCTTTCTTATTACTGATGATGTTACCCTGCTTCATATTATTAAGGTGGTATTTTCTAAATTTCTCCAGTATAAAATTATTATTTTTTATATTTATTAATAAATATTTCTGTGGAGAAGAGATATCTTAAGACTCTGCAAATATCCTGTTTTTCATTGAACTTTCACTTATTAAATTTAGCATTCATTAGTGAATGTTGCTTGAAGAAATTATTATTATGTTGTTCTAATGGTGGTTTATTACTTTCTTCATTGCATATGCATTCATTAATTGGAATTATCCTTTCAGAAATAATTTATTTCTTTTCTGTTCAGCATAGTTATATGACTAATTTTATTCGATTCATTAATTTGTCACATTTATTTGTCACCATCTGCATTCCATCTTGAGTTCCCTCCTATTCCCTATATCATGATTGGTTTTTAAAAAATGTTTTTGTATTCCTTATTGAAATTTCTCACCTTCTCATCCATTGTGCTCATCTTTTCTATAATTTCCTTCACATATCAATAATGGTAATCTCTGGGTCTGCTTCCATTGATCATTTTGTCTCTTGATTTTCAATTTCCTTTTGTTTCTTCAAATGTCTAGTAATTTTGGTTTTCAACCCTTTTATGTCTTAGCATCCCCTAACTCTTGTGTCTGTTTCTTCCTTTCTCAGCATTGGCTCTTTCTCCCTGCATAACAGTTTGGAAAACATCTTTAGAGAAAAACCAGTGTATGTGTGGTTCGCCTACTTCACTTCCTTTCTCTCAAGGATTATATCCCTGATGTGTTTACTGTTCAGTGCCTTAAAAAAATTCTTTTGTGTATTTTGATGAATTTTATTGTTTTCATTGGGAGTGTAAATTTGAGACCTGCTACTATGTACTGTATCATAACTGATTTTTTTTTTTTTAAAGAAGTTTGCCGACTTAGAGCTAGGCATGATGGTGGTTACATTCCTGGGATTTTGGGAGCTGAAGCAGAAGGATCACAACTCTGAGGCCAGCCTGGGCAACTTAATGAAACCCTGTCTAAAAACAAACAAACAAGCAACAAGAATTTCAATTATTCTACCAAGCAGGTGGTAGAACATGCTAGTAATTCTTACCTGATTTGAGTTAAAACTCAGAAAGACTTATGTGGTTAGTCATTATACAGGGTTACCAATTACATCATTATTACTAGAAGAGCAAATTATCTATGAAGATAATCAATCCACATTACAAATTTCTTTTGGGCGTTATTTTTATGTCTAGAATCTTCATAATTTTTAAGACCCCCTTTGTTCAAATGAAACTTCCAAGATCTGCTATATATCAAGAGAGGAAGATAATAAGTTTATGATTAATCACATTAATGATTACAAGGAATTACAAGGAATATAAGACCGATGCCTGTCAAAGTTTTCACATCTGTCTTCTCAGAGCTCTAAGGGAGAACTTTCCTTTAACCCATTACTGATTCCTTTGATTGTGAATATTTGAATTTTTAGAGCCAGACTCTAGAATTTTATTAACTAGTGTAATAAGCAAAAACCAGGCTTGTGGAGCTCAAATTTACTAGAAGAAATAGAAAAAAAGACTAAAAACGTTTTACTTAGTAATAGTAAATAAACTGGAAGTATGCCGTTTTTTTTTCTTGAAGGTAAGGTGGCTTTAAAAAGTTTGCATGTGATTTTGTGACTATGTCTTTCTCCCAACCCCGACTTTCAGATGACATCTAGATCAAACATCATGATCCTTTCTAGGATGGCGAGAGTGGAGCTCCATACAAAATCTACTTGCATTATTTACAACTTGAGTAACCAAAACACTAATTAACCAGATGCATTCTACTGCTTCATTTTTTTAGGACAAAAAGAAGCCAATGATACCAAGACAAGCTCATAACAGAGATTTAATCACCAGATGTGTACGCATGAAAATACAGGTACAAATGAAACTCTTCACCTTTGGATCTGCATCTAAATTGTTGCATAATGAGTACGAGTATTCAGAATTTCACAGTAGAATCAGCAAAAGAACTTTCAAGAAGAGTTAAACATTTTTGCGGTATGCCCAGGTGTCTCACAGCATTCTAGATTTGGGGAGTAGAAATATTAAAAAAAAAAAAATCTCTGTATCAGAGTGTTTTTTAGCGCAAGCCACCATTTTTGTTCACACTTGACAAACCTATGTACTGTGCACGACAGTCATCCTATGAACAAGACTAATTTTCCTTATGTCCTCAGACTCCACTCGGGAAATTCCTTCCATTTCTTTGTCTTAACTGAATCTCCCCAGTCTTCTGAGAATAACATTCTCGAATGGGGCCGTGTCGTGCTTCACATAGCTCCAGGTTTGAGAGTCTGGTCAGTGTCTTCCCCTGCCCCCTTTCAGGCTGCTAGACTTTCACTCTCTAGTTAAATCTCTACATTTTGAAGCTTGTCGTCCATTTCTTATGGGGGAGTCTTCACTCGGTCACTTCTCCTCCTTATTCACTGATGGTTTTATTATCAGAGCCCTCACTTCTTTTCTACTCCCAACTCCATTTGTCAACTTGGATGACTTTAATAGTAATGCGAATGAGCTAATTCAACCCTCCAGTGAATTATATTCAGTCTCCTCCATCCATTGCCATGCTGTGGATCTTGTCAATACTTGAAACCACTGCATCAATCAAATAGCACAAATATCTAGCATTTCATTTGCAGCCTTCCTTTTTTTTTTTTTTTTCCAAATTGCTTTTTAAGTGTCCCACTACAACCATTCTTCACTAGGTGCTTCTAGTTGACTTGCCTTTCCATTTCCCCTGTCTCTTTATGAATTTGTTCACCAATGTATTCATCCATCACTCTTTTATACCTTCTTTTTCTTTATATTACTGGTAGATTCTAAGATTCATTGTTTCAATTATTCTCTTGCAAATTAACTGGCAAATCTCAGCCCTGGATCAACCTATCTATCTTCTCCATGTCTATGCAAACCGCTGAGAATAATTGGAGGGAAACATGGTGGAGCAGACTACCCAACAATGGTTAGTGATCTCATCTAGACCCTGGAAACTTCCTGGTACCCTGGCACATTTCTACAAAATCTCTTTAAAACTTATTCTATTTTCGGGCTGGGGATGTGGCTCAAGCAGTAGTGCGCTCGCCTGGCGTGCATGTGACCTGGGTTTGATCCTCAGCACTACATACAAACAAAGATGTTGTGTCCACCAAAAACTAATAAATAAATAAATAAATATTAAAAATAAAAAACTTATTCTATTCTCAAATCTCCTCCTCTCATAGCTGATACCCTTGCTTCCAATTTCACTGGGGAAAAAAATGAAGCTAATAGATAAGAACTTTGCTTAGTCAACTGTTTTCTGTCTTCTTACAAAGGCCAACCACTCTAGCTCCTCAAGGTTGTCCCCAGAACATTGATCATTTCCTCTTTCTGATTCAGTTTCAATTTCCTCTTTTGTAGCTGGACGTTTTCTGTCAGCATCTATGCCTGTTCTCAAGTGTCTCATTGCCTCAAACTAACCCATCACTATAACCAACCAATCACCCCTTTGCCCCCACAAAAAGCCTTCTGGAAAACACATGCATCTTCAGCTACCACACTCTCCCTTACTCCCTTCTCAAACTTCTGGCCTGCATTGTCTGTAGTTTCTCTCCAAATCTTTAGCCATTATTCCTTTAGCAAACCCTCAAATCGAACTCTTGTTTCCACGGCTCCATGTGAACAACTTTGGTTAACGTCACCAATTCTCTCCACGCCACACAGTTAAATATGTTTTCCAGTCCTTACATCACCCTACCTCTTGGAATCATTCTACGAGGCTGTTGACTCCCTCTTTTGAAACATTTCTTCCCTTTGGTTCCCATGATGATACATGTTCCCCACTTTCTTCCTACTCTTCTGACTCTTTTATCTTTTGCCATTCACTGTGCTGCAAACTTGGAGTACCCCAAGGCTCAGTCATAGTTGTTTCTCATTCCACATCTTGCTCTCAAGACAGTGCCATCCACCCTCTAGGCTCAACTGGCACCCACACTCCAGCAGCTTTCAGACTCCATATCCAGTTATACTTCCTCTCTGACTGTCCATCTGACATCTCCATTTGGATACCTTCGATCACTTCAGAAAGACCCTCCTACCTTCCAGGCCTGTAGAAAATCACAGGATTATTCATCCCCACACAATAGCAATGTAAATGCTCATGTGCATAAACCAAAACCATGCATTGTATTCTTTTACACATGAGAAAACAAAGCAGGTCATGTTATTTGCATATCATTTAGGAGAGTACCATAATTCTTGGGTGCTTTTCTGCCTCCACTATAATGCCTGAGGTTTTGACTCCTAAAACAGCTACTAAAATATATTATTTGTGTGCTTGGGACACCAATCTTTCATCACAGACATTTCTTTCCCCAGAGTGGCCAGAGTCAAGTAGATCTTATTTATCAGAAAGGGGTTCTGCTCGGCTCCAGGAAGTAGTTGTCTACAGGCCACTAAAAGTGGTCCCTGGACCACTTTAGTTTGTCCTCATTGCCCCAAAACAAAGCAAAGCAATGAGAGCATCTAACAAGCCTTTGTTTTGTGTCCCCAAGTGGGTAGTGACCTCCAATATAATTAGAACCCTCTTATTCCATTTCTTTTTCTTAGTCTTGGCAGGTTCTCAAATCAGTATTGGATTTTTGGCATCTTGCTGTCCTCTGTGGAAAAGCACCCTGATTCCAAATAAATATTTGTAAGAAATTTTCCATTACCTGTCACTGGTTTGTTACCGATGATCTATTGTTCAACTTTTATTGTGCTCATTTGTAAACATAATCATTGCCAAGGAGCCAAGTGAATAAGCAGGGACAAATGGAGAAGATGATCTTTAGAAACAGCATTTAGTAGTTAGGACCAATGTTCAGGTCCTGCCTTTTTTGTATTTTTTGCTGTGCTGGACTGATTAACACAGAAGCCATTGTCATTACTGTGTAAATCTACACACACCGAGGAAGGCATTAGCCTCTGGCCTGAGCGAAGATTAGCAAGGCTTTAGGGACTACCACAGGCCTCTAAGGGGGTTGGTGAATGTGGAATGAACTTCCTCTGCAGTGAAAATCAATTGCTTTTGTCCCAGTTGGAGGCATTGGGGCTGAGCAGTTTTTTTAGAAGCCTGGAGTGGGGTCATGTAAAAGAAAACCAGAGCCTGCAGTGGAAGGTTTGAAGCACCCCCACCCCATGATCGTTCTGGATTAGCTCTTCTGCCATCACATCTGTGCATTATTCCCCAGCAGGAAGCCAGGGGTTTCATTGGCAGCCAGGGGCTCACCACCCTGTGATGGTTCCTGGTGCCAAATGCGGAGGGCCATCAGTGTTTCCTGAACCGATGCGCCCCCTTAGGACCCTGACTTCTCCATCTCTCTCACTTGCAAAAAGGAGCTATTGTGAGATTGGAGGTGAAAGGAAGTTAAGCCCTTGAATATTGCTGGTTTGTGTCTCATGCCCTATCTTTGCTCTTATGATTCTTACTTGGACCTTTGGTCTAATTTCACTTTGTCGTTCTTTTAAGTAGTCCATCCATCTCCTAATCTATTACAAACCAGGCCACGCTCCACACGTGGATGTTTCTGGGCTTTCTATCCGGCTCCATTGATCTGCTGTTTTTTTTTTTTTTTCCCAAGCCAATATGCTATTATGTCAATGAGTGTAATTTATGGTGAGTGTTGATATTTGGAATGACAAGATTTTCTTCATGTTCAAAATTATCTCTGTTAATCTTGGTTCTTCCTACTTTTATAAGACCCATGGGATCATCCTGTCAGTTGCGTGATTATCTGATTTCGATTAGAATTACATTAAATCTATAGATTTACTTGCACTGTATTGATGGTGTTGCATATTTCTCTCTTGGCATTCAAAAATATTTTGTGAATTTTTTTCACGAGGCTCTTGTGTTTCTTTTAGCTGATATATTTCTCTCTCTAGGTGCCCTGTGGTTTTATGGCATGATGGTCTCTTTTATTTTATATTTTCTGATCCTCCTGATCTATGAAAATGACAGTGATTTTTATATGTTGATCCATGTCCAAAAATCTTGTTGGATTCTTTTTTCTTCTTTTTAATTCTAATTTTTTAAATGTGTTTGTGTTGATGATGATTTCAAGAGCAGGGTTGACCAATAATAATAAATGATGATAGGTGGTTTCCTTGTTGGGGAATCTGATTTGGATGGAGTGTTTCCAAGATTTTACCAGCAGAAGGCAATTCCTTCCCTTCCCACTATGCTAAGAATATTCATCATGAATGGATACTGAATTTCACTGAATGCTTTCTTAGTATTTATTACTGATCATATTTTCCCCTTTCATCTATTATTATAGTAAACTATATTTACATGCCTTTCAAATTTAAACCAGTCTGAGATTGATGTCATCTGGTTTGTATTACAAAACGTTTTACCTGTTGGATTGACAAAACATTTGGGTTTGATAACCCACTTTATTATGCCTTGGGGAAATGGTCATTTTTCATATATTGTCTGTAGAATGATAATTTTGCAAACTCCATGGAGAGCAAGTTGGCAAATCTACCAAAATGCATGAAATTACAGATGCATGGTGTTACTTTCTGTCTCCAGAACAAACACACGATGATAAAGACATAGCAATTGATAGAGAGGAAAGATTTGTTTTGGCAACCAGTTTTAGAGGTTTCAGTTCATAATCAGTGTGGCACTTGGAATGGGGTGGTGGAGCAAAACTGCTCACTTCCTGAACATGAAGTGAAAGAGACAAGGAGAAATGGATTGAGGTCCCAGTAGGCCCTTTGAAGTCATGCCTCCCAATGACCTAAAGACCTCTCATGAGGCCCCGTCTCATGAAATTTCCACCATCTATCAATAACACCAAAGTGGGGTACCAAGCTATCTTAGTGAAATGATTTGCCATCTACCTAGTT